CTCTACTATATCAAAGATCCATGTCAAAACTAAAATAGCACTTGAATGCACTGCAGCAATGATGAAGCAAAATTATGACAAGCATTGCTGAGCACTGCACCACTATACACCATCTGACAAGGTATGATTGGACACAATCAACCTTCATTTGCCTCATCCAAAGCACAAACTAGCTGATAAATGCACCAGGCCCTTCACAATAATCTCCAAAGTTGGGGTGAGCACCTATAAACTTTATCTACCACCTATCTGGAAAATCCACAATGTCTTTAATGAGTCATTACTATCTCCCTACATTGTGCCAGCATTCCTAAATCAAGAACACCTGCTGCCACCACCATCTGACCTAATCAACAATAAAGAACACTATAAAGTTGACTAGGTCTTACATCATAAACCCCAAAAAATCAAAGCAAAGGGGGGTGGCATAATGACAACTGTGGACTACCTCATCAGTTGGAAGGGTTATGGGCCCAAGTCCAACTAGTGGGTAAATAAAAAACACATGAACACCAATGATGCTATACACGACTATGAATTATCCCTAAATTAAGCTATTGGGATGATGGTCTTAAGGAGGGGATAATGTTATGATTTTTTCTTATTCCTCATCTAACCCCTATTGATGCTTAGTCAGGGCACTAAAAACAGGCACTTAAGACTGTAGGACAAAGCTTATATTGTCACAACTAGCTAAGTCCATCATTGTCTTTCGATGCAACAATGTTGTCTGATGATGCACAATCACCTTTTTATGTACAGTAATGATGCTCAAGGACAATGGGCATGATGAACACAGAAAGATACAATAGATAGAAATATTATTAGCATACAATGTACAGTATTTAAGGAGCTCGCTCTCACTGATAAAAACCCAGCTTCAAGCTAAAGTTTATTCTACACCATCTTCACTCGAGCTAGTCCATATGGCCTTGTCACCAAAGACTACTATTCACAACAAGTGAACTCTGATGTTCCACTTGAAGTGCAAATTGATGTCAGTTTATCACATGTATATAGTCATGTGCAACTTGGGTCTAACATTCATCATCCACTAGAAAGTCACTGGTGAGTTGGTCAGACCAAAGAACATAATGGTTGGTTCAAAAAGCCCTCAGTTGATGTGGAATGCTGCCTTCCACTTATCACTGACATTGTTATACCCCTATCTCACATCCAGTTTAGTATAGCAATAGGCCCTATGCAACTTGTCTATTAGTTCTGATATCAGCAGGAGGGGATAATGATTTTTTATCATCATCTTGTTTAGTCTTTGATAGTCTTAGATAGGCTGGAGATTTCTGTCCTTCTTTTTAACAAAAAAAGAAGAGAGAGGCCATGGGGGACTTTGAGAGTTAAATGTGTCCACTGGCAAGGTTCTCTTCAAGGAACTTGTCGATTTCCTGCTGCTCTGGGTAGCTGAGTGGGTATGTCTTGCAATTGAGATTGGCATTCACATTTGGGGTCAGTTTGATGGCATGATTATATGGTTTTGGCTCTGGTAACTCATCAAAACTCTCTTTACTAAATAGGTTCTGATAGTCTCAGACCTATTCAGATACCATCTCTTTAAACATCTTTTCTTTCTTTCCTGCATTGGCTTTTGCCACCAAATCATTGGTGTGATGTACTGCTCAGATCTGCATAGTCTGTTCCATGTCAATAGTGAGGATAGTTTTGCTACCTTCTATTTCTTTGTCTCACTGATCTTCAGGGTCTTTGTCTGTCAGTTTGAAGGGAATTTTTCAGCATCAGCAGCAAGCAAAGGTTACTCACCCAGTCTTCCAATTGATGAGAGTGTTGTGTCATATTAGCCAATTATGACCAAGAAACATTTCTTTGGTTTTAAGGTCAGTGATGGCCAAATCAATCCATTCTGAGTAATCTCTTATGGTTAGCCAAAGTTCAATGAATTTGGTTATTGAGCCAGCTTAGTTCTTTGTCCCATCTGCATTATAAATAGAAATAGGAGTGGCTGTTGCTTTGGTTGGTATGTTATGCTTGTTGATGAAAGCACAATTGATTGAGCTTCCAATACAGCCACTATTGATCAGAGCCATCACTGCATGCATGATTTGGAATGTGAGTGTTTCAATTTGGGCTTTAGTGGTCAAGTCTCACTCTGGAGTCTTTTGTCATTGAATATACTTCTTTGGCCCCTAGAGTTCTTCTAGCCATTCTAATGCTTGGCATCTCTCAGCTGTTCTCATTCTCTCTATCATCTCATTGATCACCTCTTCTGCTCTAGTTCAATGTACCCAATTTTTGAGTACTGTCTTGGCTTCTTCTTCAGTCTTTGTGTTTTTGATAGTGCACTAAGTCTATTTAGTGTTGAAAGGCTTTAGCCAGCCAGTAGGGGTCACTCCTCCTGTTTGGCCTGTGAGTAGTGTGCTGTACCATAGGCTCATGGACACCAAATTTCAGTTTTCCTGGCTCTAGATCCACCAGAGCATCAAGAGAGCTGAGCAGTGAGCATCATCCTGCCTTCAAAATGAGAAACCATTTTCCCACCATAGCTCAAGCAACAGAGCACTGACATGACCTGCTTAGGAATCCACTGCATGATCAACAACCCACAAGATAATAACACATAGCTTTCTGCTGTCCACCCCCTTTGTGTCTGACAAGCAACCATAGCACTTAGGAGTGGATGCATATCAGCTGAGGTGTGCACACAAGAGATACCTCATCTGATCAGAGATGAGTTGGGCATGGATAGCCTTATAAAGCTATTTGATGAGGCACCAGATATAGAAGGTGTAGCTGATTCACTCATAGATAGTGGATCCACTGAGCAGATTGGTGCCCTGCTGGTCTAGACACACATAGGAGCCACAGCTGATAAGGAGGCAGGCTTCCAGAATCTTAGTATTTAAGGGATAACCTTGTAGATAGAATAGAGACCAACTTTTATAGTACAAAGCAAAGGAATAAAATTCCACTAGTCTCTAATAAGCTGAAGCCATAAGATTACCTAGAAGCCTTTGAGCCTGGTATTGTGCAAGCAGACAGCTCAGAGTAATCCTCAGATCTCTCCCTTATCTCTTTACATTCCACTCATATCCTGCCCATCTGCCCTCAAAGCAGACACTCAGGCTTATTCTACCAGTGAGCCACTGCTCCAGGTGGATTCTGTGAGTTCACTCTGAACTGCTGGATTTCCCCCTTGCAAGAGCAGATGCAATCCTTCTCATACCAGGGATTCAGCTAGCCTTACAGCAGTTGAATTTCTTATTTGGTCAATCCTTATGATGCCTCTGGTGTGATGGTAGACAGGGGTCTATTTGAATGCACATAAATATCAGTAACTAAAGATGGTATATAAGTCTGCCCAGCAGTTACAGGAGACACACCACTAAGTCCTTCAGCTGACTGAGTGGGATCATTCACTTGTTGGCCTCATCTTTTACTTCCTCCACTTTCATTTCCTTGCCTAGCTCTTCAAGTCCATCTGCTTCCTTCTGTAGCTCAGCAATCTGTGCCTGAATGTCTTCCCTCATGCACTTCTTCTGCAGGCAATTTCACAATAGGTGCCCCTTCTGTCTATAATTGAAACACTTTCCCTTCTTCTTGAGGCAATCTATGTCCATTGGTTTTCCACTTCCAGTGTATGTAGTGCTGGTACCTGTCTTCTGGATGCCATATGTCAGAGTAGAAGAGGGGTGCCTGTTTTGGTGGTGTTAGTGTTCATGGAGTAATTCAGCTTTCAGTCACTCTGCAAATTGGCATTCTCTGCCTTGTGCTGCTGTCATTTCTTGTTCATTTTGGTAATCCATTCCTTCCACACATCATATCCTTTCAGGATATTGATGCCTATATCTGAAATTATCTTTGTGTAGGAGAGAGGTGCCCCTTTCTTGAGCATCCAAACCATCCTTCTGTCATCACCCATGTCATTCTGTATCTCAGCAAGTCTGCTGAGATGTTCCAACTCATTGAAGTACTTATTTGTCATCTTATCCCCCATTTGTAACTCCTTTATTTTGTTCTCATGTACTTTCTGAACTATGGAGTCAATGAACTTGTTATGGACTATTTGTTTGAACACCAGCCAGAACAGCAGTCAATGATGCTGTCTGGTTGTGGAGTAGAAATCAGGGGAAATTAATATCCACAAGGTCTTAGCCTTGTCCTCAAAGTAGGATGTGGCAAATGATACTCAGTAGATGTGGACAGTCAGGTATGCTGAATATACCTCAAAATATTGTTTGCAATTGATCAAGAACTGATTGATATCATCAGAGGTGCCTTTAAATGATCTCAGTTTTCAGGGTAGATTGGGTTTGCAGTGAATCAGGGTGGTGTTCTGGAGTAGCACCCCCATCAGATTTGGGAATTGATCAAACAGCAGCTGATGCCATTCAGCAGGTGGGCTGGAGAATGAATGGAGTGAATTGTTGTCAGCAACCAGGCTTCCTGTTGGTCTTGCTTCTTTGTGCACAATATGTCCAATCTGAATAGTGAAGCCAAGTTTTATAGCTTCTGGATCATCTCCCTCAGAGGCTTTGCTGGTGCTGGCTTTGTTGGCTGGAGGCTGTCCACTGAGAAGTTGGCTCCCTAGGCTGGTCCAAGGGTTTTGGAATCCAGTAAGCCATTTCACAGGTTGGAGTTGTGGCCATGCAGGCCAACTGATGGTGCTTCAGATAGATAGTGCCATATAAACAGCTTCTTTCAGAGCAACAGAAGGGAGTGTTTAGCATTGGCTGGAGTTTGAACCTTGATTGGTATGCTGGTAGACCCATCAGTGGATCTTCAGAGTGTGTTCAGTTGTACATAAAAATTGCCTGTTTAGTGGCAGCATACTATAAAATGTCAATTTTTTCAGCCTCTTCTGCTATCATATAGTCCTGTCCCATAGATGTCATTCTCCAGGTGACATTCTGAGTGAGCATGACTACTCTTTTCTGATATAGTCATAGATATTCCCTCTCCTGCTCATGCTGTGCTTCTTCTTCCAATGCCTCTTTGTCTACTGATTCTTTTGCATGTTTCCAGTCTCCTCACTTAAGAGATATCTCCTCTTCATTCTTATCCTTCTTATCCATCTTGGCTCCTCCACTCTCCTCACTCTCCCTGGCAGGGTATTCAGTGAGCAGATCAAAGATGAATAGAATGTGAGGCTGTAATATTGCTGGAAAGCTGTTCTTCATCTCAGGCAGTGCTAGGTCTGGCCTCAGAAGATGACTCTAGTCAAAGTCAATAGGTTCTAACTTTGGAGCTCCTCTCACTGCTGCTGCTTCACTCTCCATCTTCCTCTAGCTCACAGTGATACTGGCAGAAGTTTCTGTAGAACTGAGGATTGAGGAAGAGAGCAGTGATATTTTCTCATAGGAATCATTAGAGGGCTCATTCACTGACTCAGATAGGGGGAGAAGTTCAGAGTCTATAGGCTCTAAGAATGGAGCTGGCATCTGAGGGAATGGAATCCTGTACTGTGTTGCTTCTGGTGGGTGGAGAAGGGTATATATCTTGTCATGCCACTTTGCTGGTGGTGACAATTTCTGCAGGCCTGGTCCATAGGTCTGTCATGGTTGTTCTAATACTTGGCTCCCAGAATGGAGAGCTGGGAGTGTCTGCATGAAGCCTATACTATCTGGGATCATCAGAATCTCAGTTGATGGCTTCAAGGTCATGCTGTTGCTGCCAGTACTCAATATCATACTGGGTGGCCTCATGTTCTTCTTGTCAGTGGGTTTATTCTTCTTCTGTAGTAGTTTGGAGCTTATATGGCTCTGTGTCTGTGGTTCTTCTGCTATAGATACTTCCATGTGGGAGGTTCTTGCTGTTTGACCCAAAGTTGGAGAGTCTCCCACTGCTGTAGTTGATATGAATGGAGAGAGCAGGGCTCCCCTCTGGGGTTGCATAGAGAGAGTTATGGCTGGAGCCTGTAGCCATTCTAGAGGCATCAAGAGAGTCTCAGGTGTGGCTGCCAATTCCATGCTCAGACAGGATAGTGGAAGGGTCAGGGGATGGCTTAGCATCAAAGAAGTCATTGAGAATATTCTCATCCTCATAGTCTGAGACTGGAGAGAGATTCATTGGGTACTGATGGTTGCTGTTTCTGCTGTTATATTGAGAGAGTGCTGGGGATATCAGTGTTCTTCTTCTGTTGGATGAACCCTTGAATGTAAGCTGCCAGATTGGGTTTCTGATATGGCTCCTGGCATGGGCTGGTAGGAAGTTCTGGCAGATGCTGGGATATCATAGAAGGGGAGGATGGGTGAGACATTTCAAATGATTTGTTGTATGGTTCTGAAGGCATGGTAGTGCCTGATGATCCATGCAGTAACAGATTGCCTTCCTCAACAGAGATAGACAATAGCAAGCAGTCCAAGAAGGGTTCTAATGATTAAGGCTAAAAGTCTAAAAAAGTTATCTGTTAGATCAGAGGTTGATGTGGATGGCATTCAGTTTCTTTTATCCTATTGTGCATAAAGAAAGAGAAGCTAGAAGCTTTGAGCTAAATTGTTAAGTCCAAGTGACATATGACCTAAACATGTGATAAGTAGATGCTGTATTGAGTTTGTACAGTCACATCTAAGTTCACTATATGTGTTCATGTGGTGTTGTGTCTCAAGGCCAATTACAAGTCAGCTCAAGGTAGAATGGTGAGAATAAATTTTAGCTCAAAGCTGGGGACATACAGTGAGAGCTACACTACTTATATACTGTTTGATTTCAAGTTAAATATTTACCTACTAATTATGCATTTGTATGCTATAGTGCTTGTTGTTCTTGAGTATTATTACTACCTACAGAAGAGTATTGTTTATTGTTGAGAGGCAACATTACTATTGGAGGACAATGGCTGACTTGGCATATTATAGTGACTAAGCCTGTCTCATGATCCTAAGCACTGATTCTAAGCACTCTGACTAAGCAAGAATAGGGGTTAATCAAGAAAGAAAAAGAAAAAATCATAACAGAAATCAGACCCAGACTCAGCATCTAGAATTGGACCCCGGCAGAAGCAGTGCTAGAGATTTGTGAGTGTTAGTGGAAGCCTAACAACCTCCACCCATCACACCTCAGTATCAATTTGTCAAAGAACATCTCACTGTACATCCCTGAGCTCCCTGATGAACCTGTTACCTCTCCTTCTATCTCTCCAGGCATGATCCTCATTTCCAAGTACCTCTCATGGTGGATCCATGTATTCTCCAGTTTGGTCAGAGATGTGATCATGGTGCTGTATATTGTGCTGCACATGAGGTTTATTGAGGAGGAACTGAGGACTGTGGGAGGGACCAGTGTTATGAGGGCATTTGTGAAGTGGATGGAGGGGATGGGAGAGGAAGAGATCAGGAAGGGTGTTAAGAGAGTTGACTTTTTGTTAGGGTATACCAGATTCATTGGGGTCAAAGCTACAGATGAGCCAGTGGTGTGGAAGGTTTCCTTGGCATCATTCTCATAGCACTGTTTTCTTGCTTTCTCTCAGTCCATTGGGCTTTTCCTTTTAGTCATTTTAGAAGTGTTTTAATGAAGGGATTATTTATTGCTGTTGTATTTCTCTCTTTGTATTGTTGTACATTATGATCGTGCCATGTAATACTACTCTACTCACCTATATCCTGGAATTCATGGATTTCGTATGGTTCCCAAAATGTGGACTCGTGGATAATGCTTGACGACTCTGCTTTGATAATTACACTACATAATACAAAAGAGCTAACAGTTACAACAATTATTCACGTAGTCAACATTCCCATCACGAGTGGTACGGACCCCATCCCACGTTCGGATCCAATCCCAACATTACCCTCACCATTTTAAACTCATCATCATTCACGCACTCGGGAAGCCGAAGAAAATCTTCATCGTTACCAAACGTCTTGTAGAAGGTCCCGTCCCCCAACCTCGACTTCTTCTTTGCAATGGCCGTAAGAGCGTCTAAGACATGCTCCACCCTCCCGCCCTCGGACTTGAAAAACGAAATGTCCCGTTCGAGTGCCGCGTCGTGTTTGATATCCCGGAGAGTCGGGACTTGAATGTCGTTCCTGAGGATCTTATAGATGACTTTGAACACAGTCGTGAACCCAGTGTAGGAGGACTTGAGCATGGGTCTTTGGAGCCCCGGTGGAAGATAGTTCATAGTCCCGCATCCGGTCATTGCATCTGAGGCATCAAGTCGTGCACGGCCCTTAAATCTGCCTAGGTCCATCGACAGAGCTTTTATATAGAACGCAGCCTGAACTGGAGGTAATAGGTAGGTATCAATCTCGGCAATCATCAAGCACAACCTTTTATCCGTACCTCTCAAAGCAAATCTCATCCGCGGGGAGAGCCAGCCATCGGAACATTGTGCGCATGTACAGCCGAACTTAAACTGAACATAACTATCTGTGGGAAGATTCATCGCCGTCTTCAGTATGTTAATGACTTTCATGTCCATCTCTGAGTTACCCGCCCACATCCCTGTCCGGAGCTCGCTCAATTCGCGGGACAATTTCATGAAACTTAGGACGCCCTCCAGCGGAGTAACACCTTCGATATTATCGAAATTCTTCAGGTCTTCGGCAACGCCAATCTCGATCAGTTTGTTGAGGGCATGGATGTTCGGTGCGCGAGCCGCGGCGAAGACGGGGAGAAAGCCTCGACGTTCGGGTACGTGGATACTTGCGGGATCCTTGTCGTAGAAAGATTGAATGACTTTAGCTATTTCTGGAGTATTCTGGTCGATGATAGCGCAGTGGAGAGGATATTTCTTCCGGCACTCCTCGTCGATGGCATCGCGTCCACAGGCTTGCAGTTCGGGAGAGAGGGGGGGATTGCGTCCCAAGAACCTGTCTTCTAGAGATTCGATGTCGTTCTCTGGAAGTAGACGACGAGACGGGTGGTTTGGATTGGGGGAATAGCCTAAGAAATGGGTACGGCCAATGCGCCGAAAGCCGTTCTGCGATATTATCAGCATATATGCTATGGCAGTGGGATGTTATTGAAAGCGGACTTTGCGGAAAAAAGCAACCACGATATCTTTAGAAACATCGCTGGATACTGGCCAGGATATTACGATGTCTTCGTTTTGAACATTCTCCGACTCGAATAGTTTTTGAAGGACGAACGATCCGATTCCCTGTCGTCGATCCTGCACAAAATGTCAGGGTGAATATCCATCGAACGATTGGGAGACTTTCGCACCTGGTACACAGTAACATCTTGCACATAAATGATCTTTCCAGCGCTGAGCTCCGTGCCCCAGCACCGCGTACCGCTCCGGAATCCCTCACAGATAATATGAGGCTTGACCTTGCCGAACTTGTCAAACAGGACTACAGATAACCAGTGAAGTTCCTCGTTTTCTTCGTCCAGAACCAAGTGAAAATCGTCCCCGCAGCGGTGTCGGGAGATGATGAACCCGACCAGAGAAGCTATCTGAGTGTCCGGGCTGCCAGGATACATGACCTTCATGGTGAGGGTCTGTAGAACTTCACGAGAATCTAGGTGTGGTTCCACATCTAAGTCCACCACGAGTTCAGAGAGGTTTATCATGGTAAAGAAAGGGAAGAGAGCGAGATGGTCGTGGTCGAAAGCAAACGACGTATCGATGTCGCCCGTGAACGTGACGTGACATTTGAAATTCCCTAATATCACCGCCGGGAAGGGGCGTCGAATTAGTAAAATCGAGTAATAAAGCTCTTGCCTTGATCACTTAAATGCGCTAGCAAGAAAGTGACATTTTCCCAAACTGAGCGCCATGTTTCCTGCACACGCGGGAATTTCTGCCAGATATCTTCAAAGACATATTCTAATGTTCGACATTTTAGGGGCAGACAATTCAGAAAAGATGTGGATAATCACAAGTACTTCTGGACTGTTGGCTTCAGTGCAACAGGTTTTCCGGTCTGTCGATACGTTGGATGCCATATAAGTAGTCTCGACCGTGGCGTTTGGAGGAACCTTGTACAATTTGAGGAGCTGACTGAGTTGGAATTCTGTTAGAGGAACGTGTGTATCTCTTCCGTCCGCACTGGATTGGTTTCGAGTGAGCAGATAACTGGCTGAGAATGATAACGACTTAAAAAAAGGACGCCAATCCGGGAGGTGGGAGTCTACCATAATAACAGTCAGCGAGAGAAGGAAGAAACGGCGGAAAATCGCACAGCATTGACTGTTTGCCATGGGGAGTTCGCTGGTATGGCTTTTTCCTTTGATCACCAATGAGAAAATAAGTCAAAGAAAGGTAGGAACGAAGATATACAGAGTCGTCTTCGCAGAACCGGACTTTCCATTAGATTTCCGAGACGTGATCCAATATCTGATTCATTTTAGACAGGAGTCGAAGGACATCTCTTGATGTGCTTTCCTGGGTGTTGAGCTTATGCATGTCGATTAGTTTGTACGTCTACCCAGAAGAAATGCGCACATTGCTAGTAGCGAGTCTATACACTGCAGAGATAATCAGCCAGTCTGGATTTAGACAGAATGGCCACGCACATTTGGGTAGGATGATTCCCATTGCCAAGCTTCGTGTTTGGAAATACGACAAATAACATATTTGTAAGCTTCCGCGTAGTAAAACAGATAGAATCGACATTGGCACGAAGAGCGAAAAGGTACTACTAATGTAAAGGCTTTTCCTCTCTTTTCTTCTGCGTCGAGTATAGCCTTATCACTCTTCCATCTCACTTCAGGATGCGGTTTCCTATCCTGATTGGCTCCTAGTGCTGAGAATCAAATCCGGCTTCAAGTTTCATCATTGCCAAGCGTTTGCGCTTCAGCTATGCTACTTGTCGCTCTCTCTGGCCATGCATGAACGAAAGCAGATGTATTCCACAGCAAGGATAATCTGCCAAGCCTGAGGCTTTCCTGAACGAACTTGGTCCTCAGTCGAGATGGCGACAGAGCAAAAACCACACTAATCAAACCATTTCTTGGGTCCCGATTCGTGAGATGCGGACGTCGAAAACCCCGCTGGCATGGAAAACAACGAATCCATGGAACCCTTCCGGTATTCAAGTTGGACGCACACGCCAACCGCAACAGCGAGACATTCGAGGCGGCGTAGTAAGTGAGCCGATATGGAAACTCCTGCACACAAACCATCTGAATTGATAAGGCCTGTTGGTCTCCAAGTCAACTCTCGAGCCCTTGCTACCTCCATTCCATATACTCTGATAGCACATTGATTCTGTTTGGTGCACGAGCGGGTTCAACTGTCTCTCAGAACGTAGGCATCAATGTCTACTGTGTTTTTGACTGGAAACACGAGGAAATACCAGACAGTGTGTCTTTGGTCAGCTAGGTTGCGAAGGTGACCGGTGAAGGCGCGGAGCTTACAAAATGGGTGAGTCAGATTAGTAGTAAGGCGCATGTGTCTAACGGTATCCTCGTCAGTCGAATTCACTGGTCAAAAAATGATAAACTCACATGGGAACTCTGATTTCCCATTGGCCCAATACCCAGAGAGGACAAAAAAAGAGCACTGATTGGTCCTTTTCATGTGTCAAAACACAGTGAACCATAGAATGTCATTGTGTCATCTCTGACAGGGTATTGGTTAGTGCACCTGCACGGTGGGTTCGACTCCCAGGCAGAGAGCTAACAAAGACGGAGATATTCGTTTTTTTTTCTTTCCCTTCCGGGCGTAATACGGCCTTGATCTGGAACTCGGACGACGTGACACTTTTCCTGCTTCGTGGCCCACTGACAGTGTATGCTCCCCTCCCCATGCAGAAAACTAAACCAAAGTCTCCTCGTCAAGTTCTCTGGCTGCGAGGCGCATCGCCATAGCTCGATGGACCTGCTCCGTGTTGAGATTCGGTTTTCACGGCATTAATATCATATTCTATTTATATATATATTACTGCTTACCTTATACTTTGACATTTTTTGTACCTTATTGACTTGACTCGGAACCACCACTGTCCTTACTCTACACGACGAAATATACCCTTCCTTCGAGTCCAACAGGCCTTCCTCCGAATCGCCAGCACCTAAATTCCAACACTCCGGCCCATTACGAGCCTGTCGTCTTTCATTAGCTGTGCCCTTGGGGAAGCATCTTCAATGTCTCTGTATCGCGGCCATTCCCTTTCAACTGGCACAAGCATTTGCTGTCTCGCACCCTCCTCTTCCTGGGGAGGGGGGAGGGGAAGAATGGTCAGAACTGACATCGAATCCGAAACGATTAGTCTCAGATGCATGGATTCAGAGAGGATGGTGCTGTGACAGGATGGCAATGAAGAGGGACTTGGTTCAGGATGGCAGTGGACAGTGAACAGATACGCACCATGGATTTACTCTGTTCAATGAAGGGAGTAAGGATGACAGTATGACTGCCAATAAGTTGGGAATCGACCTTGCTTGATGACGCGATGTACCTCACGAGCGCGTTCAGCCTAGAGATATAATCATCCGGTACGTTACGGAAGAGTACCTCGAAGGAATTTATGTAAAGCTCGAATACTGGGCGACAATTCAAGAAGTCATCTGGTGCCAATCGCTAAGACTTCGCTCGGATGGGTTCGACTCCCAGTCAGAGTGTATCCCACTTTGTAGGCTTTTTTTATTATGAGCTATCTGGGAAGTGTAAATATGCTAGTAGTAGTGGGCACACGTTCACGTATACAGCCGCTACGCTACGGTAGCAGTCGTACAAACTGATAGCTACCTCATGGGAAAATACCTAGCGCAACTCAATCAATAAGGAGAGCCTGATATTGTCCCTGTGAAAAAGAAAGGGTCACAGTCAAAACCCCAAGCTCCCTGATCAATTTGGACTGTTGATGATTTCACAAGTATCGCGCTCAGTATATAAGGGTGGTCACCGTTCCCTCCAAGTCCGCGTTATTGCGCCATATTCTCAGCAGCTCCTTCTCCTTGGACCACTCTCCAAGAGGCCAAAATGGTCACGACAAATGCGTTTCTGTACTTCATTCAGCGTGGATAGTGATCCTGTACTTGTAATTCTTCATGCGAGCAAAGATGAATCCCTTCCCTTCACCCTGTTAAGGTCATTCAATCATCATATTCGAGCGGACCACTCATGATAGTGCGGAGGGTGACTTTCATCAAAGTGGTTCTCCATAAAGTGTTTCATTGATTTTACAGTTTCGCACACTACATGGCCCCAACGTGAATATCATCATCCAGCCATCATTCCGACCGTCTTTCATGCGTACTCGGTGTCATCTTCCCCCTTTGAATCTTTGTTGCATCTCCCCGCTGTTACATCGCTTCAATACACATCTGAAAATGCAGAGTTTCAACCCTGGCCTGGATACAGTGTTTCAGGAGTGCCATTTCACTGCAAAAGACAGGACCTGTTCATCATCGTTTTGGCATCGTACAAAGGGATTCGAACCCGAATTACGTCCACGTACACAGCCGATACGCTACGGTGGCTGTTGGCTACCTCTTGGACAAAAACCTACTAGTAGCGCAATTCAATCAATAAGGAGAGCCTCGTATTATTGTCCCTGTGAAAAGAAAGAATACGCATGCCTAACATGTTTATGCTCCCCAGATAGTTCCTGCTAAAACAAAGGACTACATGCAGTCTCTGATACACTTTAACTGGGAGTCGAACCCAGTTACAGTGAGGTCTTAACGATTGCCGAGTTTGCTTATACCTAATTAATTCCGGATTCAAACTGGATTGTCGCTCAGTATTCGAGCTTTACATAAACTCCTTCGACGAGCACAATACTCTTCCATAACGTTCTAGATGATTTTTTCTCCAGGTTGACAACGAGAACAATGCAGCGTTCGGGGGACAATGAGGCCAAGAGTGCAGATCGTGAAAGACGACGGTGCTGGCTGAGTGGTATGGGGTTGGATATTTGAATGGGCAGCCATGCATGCCCGTTTCGCATCATGTTTGATTACAACATCGGTGGTGTCCATAATGACGAGCTGCCCACAGTATCGTTTCCAGTGACGAGAATCTCTTCCCTGAGGCTGTAACTCCCTGCTCCATGACGGTCCTTTACCTTTTCTCATCCGGGTTTGCCGCCAGGCCAGTAGAGAGCATAAGGAAACGGGAGGCTGGCCGCGGTTGGGCCGATTCGAGGAGGAATTGTCGATAACTTTGATGTATACGATTGGTCTATCAACAGAGGTTCGTGCCGTCCCACAAGTTTCATTCGCCTTGGTGCTAACCAAGTTTCAAGCCTGCCTCGTTGATATCGGCGGTGCTCACCACGAAGAATCTCTTCCTCGAAGTCAACCCCTTTGGGTCTTTATTGTATCTCTCTCTGCAGTTACATTGTATAGAGATCTGAAACTTACCAATGACAGTGCTATCCTCGGCACCTTGATGTTCCACGAACCCCGTGTATAAGTAAAACCAACTTTACACTCCCGGAAACAAATACCACTTGTCAGAGCAAACACGACTCTATGGTGGTCGAACCCGAATTATGTCGCGCACACTGCCGATGCGCTAGAGCAGCTTGGTAAAGGGCTATCTTCAGTTCAGGGGTAATACACACAAAGCCATTCAGAACTACTGGTATCTTGACAAAGGTATGCAAAAATACAAACAGAATAAGTTAAAATGCCAAGACGACTCTGCATAAAATGACAGGGTTTGTTCATATTCCTGACCTGGGAATCTAACCCAGATTCAAGTGTACTAACCGATGTCCTATCAGAGATTAGAATGGTATTATTGATGGCAGTCGCATCTCTGTCGCTCTCCTTCATCAAGCTCAGTCCTGGTTCTGTTCCTTTGTCAAGGGTGTTCCAACCCCATCACATTCATTGTATGGCTCTGTTCCATATCTGACGCATACCATGAATAAAGCCGATCAGAGCATACTCACTTTCCGTCATCATGAAAGCCACCATGGTCCCCTCACTTTTGGACAGGGCTAGGACAACCCAACGCGAAGGGAAGCCAATCTATGTAATTCGGGTTCGAATCCCTTTGTACAATGCCAAAACGATGATGAACAGGTCCTTTTTTTTGCAGTGAAACGGTATTCCTGAAATAGTGTATCAAGGCTGGGTGCATTTTATAGGCGATGTACATGGAACAGCAGGGAGAGATACAAGCATAAGTAGATCGAGGTAGAAGACACTGAGCACGCAAGATAGTTACGAGGGTTGACAGTGATGCTCACCTTATGTGCGCGAAACTATGAAACGTTTCATGAAGAACAGCAGCTTTGGTAAGTCTATCATGGATGGTCCGCTCAACCTTTTAGTGATTCGACAGCACCATTCATGATTGAATGACTTTTTACAGGGCTGCAAAGCGAAGCAAAGGGATCATCCTTGCTTCGCACGTTTGTAAACGCAAGATCACCATCGTGACCATTTTCACCTTTTGCCTGGCCCCTTGAAAAGAAAAAAGAAAGTCATGGACCTTAAGGAGAGATGAAGACGACGAGTTCATGAAAGGTTGTGGGTAACGGACTTTCGGCTTCGAGGCGGAATGGTCACGCCGTAAGGAACCTCACATAAGAATTTCAGAAAGGTTTCATTCCAGTTGCTTCTTTCCCTATCCTATATGCTCTGAGAGGATACCGGCATGGTACGGGCGGTTTCAGAACGTACCCAATAATGTCTCCTACCATTTTGGACCACGAGACAAAATTGGAGACTCAGAGCATGTGTGTAGCCAGAAGGGAAGGAAGGCCCCCTACAATATACCAAATCCCTCCGCGCCTGTGTCCCAGTCTGCCAAAATCATGGAGCATAGAACAACACACTCACATGGGGGGACACTGATTTTCCCTTCAACGTCGCGGAGAGAACACATGTGCTCTGATAGCACACCGGCCCTGTTCCCTGGTTTGAGCGGGTTCGAATCCCACTGAGAAAGTAAGGTAGAAATAGAGTTTTTGACGACAACGTGAAGGAAAGACTGAAGGTGATGGCGTGGAGTATACAGGGTATCGTTCGTGCGTCGAGCCAAGAGTTCGATGGAAGGAGTACATGCCGTGGGTCACCTCGGGTCAAGAACGTGGGTCACCGGTCACCAATTTTTCGTGAGGGTGAATGACGGTCACCGCATCCAGGCCCAGGGATGGAGAATAGGCAAAGGAGAGTGGTGCAAAGGAAAACGTCTGACGTTATATCAGGTCCAACACGGCATGGAAAGGGAGTCGCTGAGAATGCCAAAAGTTTTTTATGACCATGGCGCAGATGACTCAGACGCGAGGAGGTCGCCATCACACCAAGACACTAGCATACACCGACTAGCTCGTGAAATCACCAAGTCCAAATTGACGTGTCATCATCAAGTCGACGGGGTATTGGTTTGCCTTGACTGTGCGACTGGTTTGTCCTTATGTGAAAAGGTCCTACATCCTGTCTCCTACCGCTGGTGGCCGTGTGCAAAAGCGGGAGGGCCATAGTGATTTTCGTAACGACAACTGAAGAGAGATGGGGTATACTATGTGCATGTTACGGTCAGCCTTATGGTATGCACCAGATGTGAAACGGAGCCATACAATGGATGTGACGTGGTGGGAACACCCTTGACAAAGGCACCGAACCAGGACTGAGCTTGATGAAGGAGAGCGACAGAGATGTGATTGCCATCAATAATACCATTCTAATCTGATAGGACATCGGTTAGTACACTTGAATCTGGGTTCGACTCCTAGTTGGGGAATATGAATAAACCGTGTCATTTTATACGGAGTCGTGGGCGTAGCTTATCCTGTTTGTATTTTTGCATACCTTTGTCGAGGAATGGCATCACAAATGTGCTACACCTCAAGTGAAGGTAGCACTATACCAAAAGGTGTAGTACGAGCTCTTGTAGTGTATCGGCTGTATACAGGGATGTAGTAATTCGGGTTCAACTCCCATAAGAATCACTCATAATATAGCTCTATGTTGGTCACTGTTTTTTTTCTGGAGGTGTGTTGGTCTTGGGGTTCGGAGAGTATGAAGGCGCCCAGAGTAGCACTGTCATTGGGCAGTTTCAAATGTTTATATGATATCACTGAGGAGAGAGATACAACAAGGACTGTGCTCGGATAGATGACACTGAGTAGGCATCCGCTTTAGTACCTTCACTCGCGCGAAGACGTGTAAGCGCAGGATCACTATGCGCAACGAAGTACGCAGAGACATTTGTTGGGACCCTTTTCGCCTTTCGCACCATGGGTCCTGGAGAGAGATGAATACAAGTCCACGAAAATTCTGCAGACGACGTACTGTCAGCTGTCCAGTCGCATTTCACAATGAGCGAGCATGCACTCATTCCGGCTGCTTCACTCCCGGCTCTGATAGCACACTGGATACAGGTCCAAGCGAGTTCGACTCCTACTAGAGCATAAGCAAAAAGTCTGCATAGCACCGTTTGGACCACAACACGAAGGACGACTGGAGAGCGAGTACTTGACCAGTGAGGGACAGAAAGTGATAGTAGAGTGCACAGTATTATTGATACTCGGTCCCTACACTAGTCCACAGTAACATGCGTGTTTCTGACAGTATCCTAGTCGGTCGAATCCACCAAGAAGAAGATGGTACACTCACATGGGGGTACCTATGTCCCTTCCCTTGCTTCCCATCGATAGCTCACTACACCCAAAGAGCGAGTTCAAAAGGAAAATACGGTGGATCACGAGAGGAGAGACAAAGACACGAAGGATTACGGCAGCTGTCGGTTTCGAGGAAGAGATTCTGCATGGTGAGCTCCGCCGACGTCAACGACGAAGGCTTGAAACGTAGTTTAGCACGAAGGGGAATGAAACCTGGGGGACATCGCGAATGTCTGCCGATAGACCATCCTCCTTCTGCGCTCAACCCAGCATACATCGACAATTCCTCCTCGAATCGGGCGTTGCCATCTCAACTGTGACCGGCCTCCCTTTCCCTACTGGCCTAGCGCCCCTCTTCTTACTCATATCGCAGCCCCGTTACAGACGCTAAAATCGTAGGCTCCTTGATTTTGGTCGACCACGCAGCGAGCGCGGAGGGATCAGAACAGTTAGTAGAGGTCTGGTGAGCTGGCATGATGATCGAACATTGAGCAGAGCTATACGACGCACTGTGGGCGAGAGCAAGTTTTTTTTTTTCAAAATGGATTCCCTCAACTACCAGATATAGGACGCATATGATATCTTCTGAGATGGTCTATCGATTAGTACGCGCGCCCAATTCATGTGAAACCTGGGTTCGATTCCCAGATAGAGTTCTGTCCGACATCAAATTGTAACTTTTATGCTGGGTTGGATTTTTTAGGTTTTTATTTTAGAAGTTTTAATGTTCACTGCTTCCTTGAAATTCATTCTTTAGACTTTCATGCTACTAACCAGTAGTAAGTTATCCTACTGGGCTTTTGTCTGAGAAGAAAGAGTAGTTCTAAGAAGTATGACAGTGTTACTGTTTTTCTTGTAGCATATCAGGGTGTATACACCAATCTAGTTTGGGTTTGACTCTGAGGTATTGCTCCCCTCTTTCTCTCTATACTGTATTCAAAGTCAAAGTCATGTTGATAATAGGATCCAGTTGTATAATTATATATTACAAATGAATGGTTTTCCCTATCTATGGATACAGCTCAGGTATTAATATGCAGAAAATAGTCTCCATTCTAATGGCAAAAAGTTTATCATTCCTTTCAATGTAATGGCAGTCAAGATACAAAAGAGCATCAATAAATGATCTATTTTATAGTAGTAGCATAGGATAGAGTCTGAGTCAATGACTGTGCCACTTACTCATATTTTTGATTCACCTTTATCAAACCTTGACTGCTTGCCTGTCAAGGCCCACAGTGCCATAGAGATACTTGCATGGTGAGTGAGCAGTCTAATGCAAATTTCATGTGAATAACCTGGATTGAATTCTTCTCATAAACATTGTTGTAGATTTGAATTGGAGAGACTTTTTAGAACCACAGTTTAAGAATCTGCTTAGCTTGAAAGGGAAATTCAAAGGTCATACAAGAGTTATCTAAGCCAGAATAGCATATGGTAAACTAAAAAGAGTGAAAAAGTTTCACACACATGTCAGATAGCTGAGTCCAGTTTTATGTATCATTTTTAGACTGGGCTATTAACATTCAATAATTGATCAGGTAACTTTCAAAGTACCTTTGATATCTACCCAGCTATATCTGAAGCATCTGAGCTCTCAAATATATTAGATGCCTTTGTTAAATGGCAATTATGCTCTATTGCTTTGCTATTAGCTGTTAGATCTAACTGGCATGTGATCTGAACATGTGATAAACTAGTGCTGTATTGTGTTCATACAGTCACACCAGAGTCCACTAAATGTGTTCTGGTAGGTAGAGTGCTTCAAGGCCAGAGACAGGCTGGGCTCAAGAGAAGATAGTGTGAGATAAACTTATAGCTTGAAGCTGAACTACTATAGTGAGAGCCATTTTACTTATATACTATTCAGCTTATAATAAATATAACTATCATCTATTGTATTATTATATACTATGATACTAGTTCTGCCTGGTCATTGAGGGTAAGACAATGGAAAATTGTCTGTGGATGAGGTGACTGAGTACAATGGTGCCTCATCTGTTGTGATTATCTAAACATCCCATGCTCTTTGAGAAAGTGCTCAAGATAAGATAGACACCCTGATAAAATAAGAAAAAGAAAAAAATATAGAGAAAATTGTAATATTACCCTCAGAGAAAGTGTTATGATTTTTCCACTTTTATTCTTATTTCCACAGTATTAACCCCTATTTATACTTAGTCAGGGCACCTATACCAGTGTTTAGGACTGTAGAACAATCTTGGTCAGCACAATCAGCCATTGTCTCTGGTCCCATAGTGATGCCCTGACAATAGCACAATAACTCTCTTGTGGGCAACACCATCTCAAGCACTATGATGCAGATGCTCATAATTGGACAACACTGTCTCATCAAGACAACAAGTACTATAGTACAGATACTTACAATTAGTAGTAGTATATTTAGCCACTGACTTAGAGGTATATAAGTAGTGTAGACAGCACCATATATCTCTAGTCTCAAACTATCTTTTATTCTACTGCTTTATCTTGAGTCAACTACTTGCATTGATCTTAGGACATAATGATGATAAACACATCAGTGGACTTAAGCATGATTGTACAAATGTGATACAGCACTTATTTACCACATGTTCTAGTTCATGTGTCACTCAGGCCTAACAGAAAGTCCAAGTGCTGTTTGACTTGAAAGTGTCAAAAATCTTCTGTGACATTGTAATACTTTCTCCTGACTCTCAGATTAATGTCCTCTTAGTATTCAGTCTCTTTACTGCCATTATTGTTGGTTGAGCTAACTCTAGGAATACATCTAGCCACTTTTCAGAGACATGAGAAATATATAGATTGAAGAAGTGCTAAGTATAAGGAGAATCTCAATCTCTTTTTGAATTCAATTCAGTGCCTGCATTTAAAAATTGATCTTGACATCACCTTGATGCTTATATCATACATTTGAAGACAGATTTATAGCATAAACAATAGATTTTTATCAAACATCACTTTATATTATTCATTCTACAAACACTTGCTTACTTCTTTCAGATGAACATCAAATTTTCAAGCTTTGTGACAAGTAAATCTACCATACCATCTATACACTCAGCAGCAGGATGGATCATTTGCAGTTGAAAGCATCTCAACTATCTGAAGCAGTTTTTGTTTCTGTGAACTTGATGATAAAAAACCTAAGATCTGTCAGGCCAAAGAGTCTCTGGTAATGTGCTCAGTAACAGAAAGTGGCAAAAGGACTAGTGGGTGACACTGAACTACAACCAACATTAAAACCTCTTAAACTCTACACTTATCATCAATATATTGAATTTAAATGTATTGAGTATGATAGAAGCATTCTGCAGACTCAATGATTAAGGGAGTGTTGTTCAAAAGATGTTTATTCATTAATAGTGAGCTATACAAAGGTATCACTCATATTAGTGGAGTGAGATATGATTATAATAAAAGTGACTTTGGTTTTGAGCTACTGTGCTGCTGACTGAGAATGCTCAGAAGACTATTAGCACTCTTTAACTGAACCTACTTTCTACAAGTGGATAAACACTTGACCAGTCACACTCTAGTCAAACTAGTAGTGCTCTTAGCCTAAGAATAATACAATAACTGTGAGTAACTTGTTTGACTAACTTTAAAGGACACTTTTAGTCATTCTAGATACAATAGTATTCTCAAAGTAAACTAAGACCTTAAATTCACATCTGAACCTATTTATTGAAGACAATACTATGGAGGACTCAGTGATATTTCACTAATCTTTTCAAGCTTGAAATATATGGCCAGAGATAACTAGTGCTTTTGATAGTCCTAGAAGGACCTTTTGGTTTGTCATTCTCAGAAAATGTTCTAGAGTGTTTTCTGATGAGTATGTTCAGAGTGGAATGGCTTTGAATAGTATTAACATATTTTTTTTTATAGACAACTTACTCTTATACAGCTCAATGAATCTCCAGCCTAATATCAAGCAACATATGAGTTTGAGTCTTTTGATAATGCACTCATCTGCCAGATATTCAGATAAAATATTGTATTTGGACTTCTTGCTCAATTACCTACTATACCTATAATGCTAACTTGCAGCCCAACCCTTCTGATGCTAAGAATTCTATCACTGATATCTGGTGTCTAAATGCATTTAAAGAAAGAAAAGGAACAGAGAGTTTTGAAGCCTCATCAAATTAAGCCAAAAAAGTATGCACTGTTCTGCTTCATAAAAGATACTGTCACATATTCTTATAACTGAGAATATTTCAAACATCTCCATCAGTAAATTTGATAACAAGGAACTTAAGCTCTCTATATAGATTCATCACAATCCAGAGAAGAATGCTGCAATATAGACCTTATATGTTCTCTTCTATCACAATCTACACCTTTATAACTTCTAAGGTTGTTGTGCAGCTATTTAAAGACTTATTATTACTCTAAAGACATGGTTTCACTTAATCTGACAGAAGCAAATGATAAAAAATGTTTTATCAAAATAATGATCTTGAATGGTATTCCAGATATAGTAGCAGAACTAATTTGGAGCCTGTATTTGGGCCTTTTGTAAATATGTTTCTGAAACATATAGTATAAATTTCAGTAGAAACAGTTTGTATGTGGTTTGCATGCTATTTCTAAAAGTATTATATTTTAGAAGGGTTTACAAATAGCTAGAATCTGCAGCCAGTCATATCAAACATGTTTTTTTAATTTTAAATAGACTTAGAATGCCTATCAGCACTAAATTGTTTGAAGTGTCATTTTTGGCTGAGTAGTATACTTTGTGTGTATGCCATTGTTAAGCCCAAACTCCACATGACTATTAACATGTGATAAACAGTTTGGTACCTTGCACTTTGGGTATGTCTGACTGAGTTCACTGATGTGTTAACAGCGGTGTGTGGTCAAGGTGTTGCAAGTCGCTCAAGATAGGATGGTAGAGAATAAACTTTAGCTCAAAGCTGAGGTATTACAGTGAGAGCTACACTACTTAAATACTATTCTGTTATCATGCTATAAATAAATGTTTACAAAAGGCTGTTGTCTGTCATAGAGCTGTTACCCCTGCTGTTGCCAGGCTCTCCACAAAGGCTGTTGTCTGGCATGCTATCATCATTGCTGTTGCTGCTGTTTAGTGACAAAAGAGGTATTGTCTCTCCCTTCACAGTGCACAGCCATTTGATAAGACAATGACTGACTGGGTTGCTGACCAAGCTTTCCCACAGTCCTAGACACTGGCCTAGATGCCCTGACTAAGCAAAGATAGGAGTCATTTCCGAGGAAAAGAAAAAGAAAAAAGGAAAAATCATAACATTACCCCCTCCTTAAGACCATTGTCCTGATGGTTAAGTTAGGGTAAGTCTTTCTGGCTGGAAGGAGGTGGCCGATCTGCTGGACCTGTCATCATTTTCATGGCAGGCTTTCAACAAGTCAAAGGTGTCGTTGTCTCCACCATTTCTGGCTCACTCGTTGGAGGGTCATCTTCATCATCCTCTTCAACATGTCCTCTGCTGACAG